TTTGAGCCCCCCATAAAGTGTCTGCCCCCCCCCCCTTTACTCTCCTGAGTATTTTTTTTTTTTTTTTTTTGCAAATGGGGAGAATGCTTTCATGCCCAAACAGAAACCCCCACAGACAAACTACTTTTCTCAAGCCTCACTCATTGGCAGTTCACATCTCGGTCAGGACTGAAGTCACACTTGGGGGAATCAAATTCAATTTCCTGCCAACCTTGGCTGCTGATGGCACCGGAGCGTCACCATCTGGTACTGAAAATCAGCAGCCCTGAAATGCCCAGCTTTATGTGAAACTGTTAGAGCTGACACCGTGGCGCTTCCTTCCTTCCCTTCTGCCACTCGTGCTCCTGTGAAGAGATCCCATGCTCCCACCTGTGGCTGTCTACATCACATCCTAGCTGCCTTTGCTGGCACCTTGCTCCACTGTGGGGAGAAACGTTTCCATGGTGAGGCCTGCTCACAGCAATGAATTTGTACCGCTGTGTGTGCTAGTCTGGAGAGGCTGGGCGAGGGTCTAAACAGGGACTCTGCACTTGCTGTTTAGTTCCCTTACTTGTGTGCTGTATCAGCCAAGGACGTTAGAGTTGAATGCAAAGGCTTGGGAAGCATGGAAGGACCACACATTCAACCACCTGCGTCACGTATTCATTAGGGTTGAGGCTCAGCTAGCTCTGTCCCCTCCGAATATAATGGCCACCCCTCGTGGTTTATAGAAGGCCATTGCTTGTGGTCCAAAGGACATCTGCTAATGTAGGAATGGCATAGATTTTCGGTAGGTGACTTTACTTGCTGTCAGAAGGAAAAACGGGCCTGTGGCAGGCCTCGGCTCTGGCTGTACACTGGGCCCCTGGGAACATTACAAAGGCACTGATGCCGGCCCCCACCACTAGGGGTTTCCTGAGCATCAGCCTGAAAAAAAAGGCTTATTTATTCCACTAGAGAAAGAGAGATAGGCACCGCAACAGGTCTTCACACTGTGCCCCCCTACTTGTCTCAGCTGGCCCAGATCATGAGAATGCAAGGGCATCCCCTGGTGTGTTCAAGGAGGGTCTAGGATGTGAAGCCAGAACCTCTGCTGTGTGGGTCCAGTTGTGCTATCCTTGCACCATCATCTGGCCCCAAGCATTCGCAAGTTAAAAACCTTCCCAGAGCCATCCAGTGGTCTGATGTTTAAGGCAGCTGGATTCCATGGCTTACTATGCGGTTCGAGTCTCGGACCTGGCAGCTTGAAAAACACGCTGGGGGTGTGTGCATACGCACCTAAAGATCCTGAAAGGGAAAGCACCATGGGGTGTTTTCACTTTCCCTCTCTCTCTCATCTCTTTTCAGCAACTACCTGCACTCTCCATCAGAAATTAAAAACACAAAACAAATTTTCCATGTGCAGTTTATTCCATCAGGCCCCAAGTTTTACTCTCAGTGTATGAGGGGATTTCACAAAATTCATGGAAAATGGAATTAAAGTATGAGTTTATTCTGGTGCAAAAAAAAAAATTTTTTTTTGAGAGTTTTTTTTCTTTTTTGCTATAAGGCGCATGCACTCGCCAGATAGAGAGAGACAGAGAGACAGAAAGTGAGAAATCACTCCCTGAGGGGGGATGGCCATGCCGCAATCCCTTCTCCTCCATTCTCATCTTGGGATCTTGGGCACGCATGCACATGTGCCTGGCATGAGTTTGAGGGACTCGAACCACGGCTGACTACATGGGAGTCCAATGATGGAGCCATTATGCCAACTGCTGGTCCCGTGATGCAACAATTTTTGAAATGCAGTTTTTCCCAATATGTATTTTCCATGAACTTTCTGAAGACTCTGTGTTTGGTAAGGAATAGATAATACAGGACCATGTAGACCCGGGACATGGAGACTATAAAATAGAAATATAGAGGCTGGCCCTGTGGCACGGTGGCTAGGTACAGTACACAGGGAGCCAGATCCCACATGGCCGTGGTTCGAATCCTGGCCCCAGTGACTAGAAGAACACACCAGGTGCGTGTGTGTGTGTGCCTACGTTCTGATGGGATGGAGAAATGGAGGAGAATTGCTCCTTCACACCCTGTTGGAAGTTGGGGGTGCTTTTCTTCTCTCTCTCTGTGGTGAGTACACCTGCCTTCTGGAAAAGAAAAAGAAAAAAAAAAAAAAGAATACAGACTAGGAATGAGTTTAGAACAGCAATAAGTTTAAGCCTTCAAGGTGCTTCCAATTTGACAACTCGGCAGGTCTGTCCGGTACTAGGCCAGATGAAGGTGCCACAGAATATTAGTGATTGTAAATGACAGGACAGTCTTCCACATGGGAGTTCATGCATCAGAAAGACTCTGGAAGCTCTTAGGGTTTAGTGCAAGTGGTTTCCCAGTGAAAATACATCCAGCAGCTGAGACCGTGCTGGGACAGTGTCGGGGCATGGCAGGGTTGGTCACTAAGACATTCCTTACATCAGGAAGGCTTCAGCTCTAGAAGATGGACAGGTGGCAATAGAACGGGAGACAGAATGAGGACACCCGGGCCCTGCCCTGTAAGGCACCTGTACAAGAGAGTGTCTCATTTGTTCACTGATGTCAGAGCCGTCTCAGCAAAGCCTTAGCCTAGGCCCCATGAAACCAGGTTGAACAGAGGAATTCTGCTACTCTGGGCTGTATCAGAGACAGACGCTGAGAAAAATCAAAGGGCCCTCCAGGCAAGCAACACCCCACCTGAACTTCCATAGAACCCTGGTGTTCCCACTGGACTGAAGAGGGATGCCTCTCCTGAACGCCAAGGTAGGGAGCATCTTGTGAGTCTGCAGTGCTTGTCTGAGGGCAGAGATCAGCTTTAGAGGAAACTCTGTTTTGTTTTTTTTTTTTAAAATGTGCACAAGAGAGAGAGAGAGAGACAGAGAGAGAGAGAGGGAGGGAGGGAGGGAGGGAGGGAGAGAAGGGGGGAGGAAGAGAGGGGAAGCACCCTCCATAGGGACTTGTCAAACTTCAATCCTTCCTCCAGCCCATTGGATCTTGGGCTCCCACATGTGTGCCCAGCAAGTCAGGTGGACCAGGCTGGAGATTTGAACCATGAATGTGTCTTCTGTTGAGCAGTGCATTACGGGAGTCAGTCTGAACATTTGTTTCTGAGCTGATTCTGGTCAGCTCTTCTCTGCTGATTAAGGCTGCAGTCTCTTCAAACACAAAACTACTTTCGCCCCCTCATTTCCTTATATTTCTCTAAAACAGGAAAGAATACCAACCTGATGTTTCCCAAGGATAAGTCTCGGTCCTGGAACTTTTCCTGCCACATCAATTCCCCTCTCACAAGAACTTCTTGTTTTAAGCCACTTAGGTCCTAACAAAAGGCTATAAATATGAAAGGGCTTCCTTCTCTGGATGCTTAGAGAAGCTGCCAAGCAATGATTTGAATCTTCCACAGTGTGGCTCTAACTAGGGAAGACTTTTTGTCACTTATTTACAAGACTGTTAAAAGCACCCACAAGCACTAGACTTTATTACATTTAGCTTTTCTGACCCAGAAGTTAGCTGCTGTTTTCCCTCTGGGGTCAACCAGAGTTGACTGTACCTGCCAGCCGCTCACACCCTGCTGGCTGCTGATCTGGTATCTTACCAATTCCAGGCTCCAGGGGGATGGTCTTTCTGGGCAACGATCCCTTCCCGTTGGCTGTGGGAGGCTCCTGCCTGGTGGAAGGCCTGGGCTGATTGCTCCCTTTCTTGATGACAATGAGGACATCTCTGTGCAACTGGGCCTGGTGTAGAACCTTCAGTACATCCCCGTGTGCTAAGCCCGCCAACGAGGCGCCATTGACGGATAGAAGGAAATCCCCGCGGTTCACTGTCCCTTCCTGAGAAGCCGCCCCCTGAGAAAACACCCTGTGGACCTGAGACAAGGAAAGGAAGAGAACAAAAGTCAAATCCATTTGTGACCTCCAGCAAAAGTGAGAGTAACTGCAAATCTGTAGTAAAGGAACTTTTTTTTTTTTCTTGAGAGGTTTTTGCTATAGGGCATGTGCACTCATCAGAAAGTCAGAGAGAGACAGAGAGACAGAAAGCAAGAAATCACCCCCAGGAGGGATGGCCACGGTGCAATCCCTTTTACTCTCAAGCATACATGCACATGTGCGCGGCGTGAGTTTCAGCCCTCAAACTTTCTAATGGTAAGTTTTCTAAGTCATATAGACACTTGGTTTATCAAGAACATATTCAATCCCAGTCTGGTGGTATGATTGATGGCAAACTGAACTGCAGGGCTGGAAGCCACATGGCTCACCATGGATTCAGATCCTTGGGTCAGTCTGGAAACACGCTGGATGCACAGTCATGTGCCCAAGATCCTGGCAAGCTAGAAGACTGGGAAAGGGGATTGTGGTGTGAGGAGAGTAGTTGAGTGTGCCTCTCTCACGTGGGTGTATGCACTTTCCATCATGAATAAACAATGAACAAATAAATATATATAAATAAATAAATAAATAAACAAATAAATAAATAAATATGTGTGTGTGTGTGTGTGTGTGTGTGTGTATGTATATACACACATACAACCTCATATGGGGGTGGAATGGTGATCCAAGTGTCTGCAAACATTTTTACTCACTCCTTGCTAGGGTCTGACACGGGCCTGACATCCTCAGAGCAATAGGAATATAAAAATGAAGATGATAGCCTGGGCTGTTTTCTTGAGGAAAAACATTTTTTTATAACCAACACAAGATTCTAATGTTTTCTAGTGCTTAAACAAAATATTTAAGCAAATTAGGAGGAAGGAGAAATTGTGTGTTATGTATTGACATTTGTTCTGTATACATTCTCTCAGCTATGTGGTAAAAAGGCATGTTTTTGTTAATGAAAATGTTACGTGCTGGGGCCAGCAGGTGGCATGGTGGTTAAGGTGCTAGACTCTCACAGTGCTGTCTGCAGTTCGAGTCCTGGACCTGGTGGCTTGAGTTCTTGCTTTCTCTTTCTCATGTTCTCTCTTTCTCTCTCACCCACTTTCTCTGTCTCTCATAAGCACACATGCCCTACAGCAAATTAAAATAAACAAAATTAAATAATTCTTTAAAAACAATATTATG